TGTGTGTGTGTGTGTGTGTTTACTCTTTCGCTCCCTCCCAAGGGCACAAGGTCGAGATATGTGGTTATGCACACACAGGCCAACACTAATCTCGACTCAAATCATCATCAGCAGCAAAGTCCCTCGAGGAAAAGTTTTTATCTCTAGAGTAAAACTTACTTTGCTGAATAAATACTAGTGCAACCAAAGCAGCAGCGGCAGCAGCTGACCACAAAAATGCAACAGCACTGGTCAGTAGTGCCTGATTCAAAGTAAAAGACTTATTCTTTCAATTTTTTGATCGACTTTGACTTTCAGAGAAATAATTCAAAAAGTTTTCATCTTCATCCTCTCAAAATGGTCAACTTTCAGCACCACGAGAGCAGCGGCTTTGGAAGAGGTGGACGAGGAGCACCTTCTCCGGACAGCACCACCACCACCACCGCCACCATCAACACAACTCAGTACGGCACTTCCAATCTTGATCATCATCAAAACTACTCCTCCTTCGATTCGTGCTCCTGCCCGGGAACCAACTGCCTCTACCCGCTCAGCAATGTCCACCAGAATGGCACCGTGGTAGTGGCAGTGGTGGACCCTGCCACTGGAGCTACCCAAGGAGTTGTCGTTGGTGATCCTCGATACCCTTCTACTCAGGAGCCACGCCCCCTTCAGCGTCGAAACGGCCAGGCCTTCAGCACCTGCACCAGCCTGGTGATCGTCCTCCTGGCCACCTGTCTGATGCTCTTCCTCGCGCACACCTTCTTCAGCATTCTCTACTACGGCACCTACTATGGTAAGAAATGGAGAAGATAATTTAAAAATTACATGTTTTAATTTTTATCATGATTTTTTTTACCTAGATTTTCGTCGAAACAGCAGCAGCAGCAGCACTCNGATGCTCTTCCTCGCGCACACCTTCTTCAGCATTCTCTACTACGGCACCTATGGTAAGGAGAAGATAATTTAAAAATTACATGTTTTAATTTTTATCATGATTTTTGGCCTAGATTTTCGTCGAAACAGCAGCAGCAGCAGCAGCACTTCTCAGTTCGAGTTTGAGAAGGACGAGACGGCGGAGATGATTGAGACCGCCTTCACGCAGCTACCAAATGGACAGGAAGTTCGCTTCAAGAAGGACGACGTCTGCCTGGAACCGTATGGCCGATACGAGCAGGCCACGGCCTTCAAGCGGAAGCGGAAGCGGTGCACCTTCAAGTGGTGGCTCAATGACGTCCAGAGCAGCGGGCGGGGCAGCGGCGGCGGCGGAGCACTTCTCCTCAAGTTCGCCTTTGCCGATGACAGTGACTTCTTCGGAGAAGGCTCTGGAACCAGTAAACTCCACCTGCACTGTAACCCACCGGAACGGATCGACTGTCTGCTCTCGGTGCTGCCCTTCCGCAAAAGTAGCTACCGATTTCGACTGGTCGTCCACCAGATCGACTCGGAGCTGGGGCGAGCCTACTTTGCCCTTCATTCGGCAGCTTTTCCGCAGCAATGTATTGGTAAGCAGAAAAAAGAGGGAGTTTTTCGGTTTAAATTAAAGACTCCTTCTTTTTCCTCTTCTTTCATTTTAGGACTTCGGCCATCCTTCGCGGAAACGACCAACTCCACCAGCAGCCTGGAGCCGTTTACTGGAGCCGATCATCAGCTGATGTACCTCGATGGCGTCGACTACCGCGAGGTGCTGATAATGCAGGCGCTCTTTGAGGAGGAGGTGCACCAGTTTTTGGGCTTCAAAAGAGCAGTGGCCGCCGAGGGTGCTGCTGAAGATGGGCAGAAGATACAAGATCTGCCGGTGATGCGGCAGACTCTGACGAAGAAGGTGGCTGAAAATGAGGAGAAAGATGAGAACGATGTTCGACAAGAGGAAACCACTACCAAAACTTCGTACTCCAGCAACCTCGGCCACACCTACAATGTCGGCGGCCGTCGTTGGCCTTCAGCTTGAGCTTCTATTTTTGGAGCAAAAACGACTGTGACCTGACCTTCTACTGATGAAAAACCACTGTTGACCTTTATCATTTATTGAAAGTAAACGATATCCCTTTTTTGTACTCAAATCATTTTGCTTTTTTTGGTTGCTGTACAAAGTTGAAATACAAATGAGGCGATCGGGCGGAAAAATCGTCCTTATCAGTTTTTGCATTATCGACTGAACTATTTTCGGCAAACATAAGATTTATCAAAGAGAGCGAAAATTGTCTGTTTGTCGTACTACTGTGGTGGTGGTGGTAGTGGCAGCTGATAAAACAAACGAGATACAAAAATCGAATTTGATAAAGCAAAAATTGTGCTACTAATGCCGCAAAGTGAATGAAAACGCAAAAAAGTTGCACCGTCATTGTAGGCTTTATAACTGACAGCACTTTTTTCATCAGCAAACAAAAAATACCAAAACAAAGTACATTTTCACCCAAACTCACCAAACTAAAAAAAAGATGTCCGAGTTCACCTTCTACATCGGCGACGCCTTCACCAACCCAAGCAAAACCTTCTCGGGCAACCCTGCCGCGGTGGTCATTCTGAAGAATGACGTAAGACTATTTTGAAAACATTTTTTTCAAAACAAAAAAAGCTAAAACTTTTGCTTTTTTTTCATTAGAGCGACATTCCCGACGAGAAGAAGCAGCTGATTGCCGCCCAGTTCAACCTCTCGGAGACGGTTTTCGTCTCGAAAAGTCCCAGTGAGGAGGAGTTCCTCATCCGCTGGTTCACGCCACTGTACGAGGCGGCGCTCTGCGGCCACGCCACCCTCGTCACCTCGTACATTCTGCGCACTGAAAAACATATTTACAGTGAACTCCTCTCAAACTCCAAGGAGATCAAGTTTCGCGCCTACGGAGGCGTCAAGCTGCAGGTCACCTTTGAGCAAGATGAAAACGGCGAAATTCTTCCGACGATGAACTTTCCGCTCAACACTCCGGTGCCGCTGAAGGCCACCGGCGAGCTGCCTCAAATTGCGGAGATTAAGAAAGGAATTTTCGGAAATGACCAGGCAGAAGAAGGCCTGGTCGTGGACGTCCAGTGGTCGCCCAGCCTGACGTACCTTCTCCTCCGCGCAAAGGACGGCTTCGACATTGCCCAGCTGAAGCCCAACTTCAGCCGCCTGCTGGAGGTGGCCACCAAGAGAGAAGTCAGCCTGGTGATCGTCACTGGAAAGTCCACCAACTTCAGCGAGA